GTATAACGGCCGAAACGTTGTGATAGTCATTAATTTATATGCAATGTATTTAAGAATTTTCCACCAACGAAACTATACAAGTAAATTAAAATGTTTCTTTCTGTATGATTTGTTCTTTATTTTCGTCTGCTATTTTTTAAAATCATTTTGCCCCAAACAAGGCGGGAATGCCATTAGTTCGCAGATGATTACAGAGGGAAAAGACTGGGTATAGGGAGGTTTAGAGGAGTAAGGGATAGCGGCTCGGATTGAAGAATCGGAGAGCCGAGTTCGAATTCCAGTCTGATCCATTATATTAACTTACGTGCTAATACCCTTGGGAAAGGTATGAGTAAATAACAGGTCAGAGTGGCTTCAATAGTCTAGGAGAAAGTAACTCTGAATTCAAAACTGTGTGTAGCCCTGAAAGGAGGTAATGGAATAATGGATAGAGGCTCGGATTGAGGAATCGGAGAGCCGAGTTCGAATTCCAGTCAAATCCATTACATTCGCTTACGTGCTAATACCCTTGGGAAAAGTATGAATCCTCTTCTTCTCCCGCCAGCTATGGGTAAATATTAAGACAGAACTTGGATGGCAACTGGTCTATCGCAGAAAGAAATGGCAACGTACGGGAAAAATCTGCCTCGTCAGTCATGTATCAAAAGATATATTTTCGTTTAAGCATGTATAACTAACTGATGTAGCCCTGGCGTAGCACATACAATACAGCGAAAGAAAGGATCGTTCGTATTGGCTCAATGCTTCCGATTACGGTCGACCTGGATGGATGGAGAAGAGTGATTAGAGGACAAAAGCTGAACGGGATTCAAGAAGACAGAAGATAGCGATTGACGTTGCATTTAGACCTTTTTATCTCCAAATTCTTGTAATTGATCTTGATTTGGCATCTCGACTTTCTCATAGACGAGGCGTTGCTTCTCTCTGTCTTTTATATTAGGTTGGTGCAAAAATAATGACGTAATAATGTCGTTTTTTAACGTATTTTCTAACGTCAAAAAACGACATTATTACGTCATTATTTTGCACCAACCTAATACAAATATTGTCTTCTCTGACGAGCTTTTTGCCCTGCTGTCCCAACAAACATGGGTTTACGCCGTGCTATTAAATTGGCATTTACGTCCCAAACGTTTACTGTTGGAATAGCTAAATGTATTTATCACTTCTACACTAAAAGGTTCTTTTGTCGTACTTCCCGCTTGTGGAACTCACTGTAGATTTGTAAATATTCGGTAAAAATTTAGTAAAAGATACAAAGGGCATAACATTGTGTTGATTCGTGAACGCCAACAGTACTGAAGGGATACGGCACAAAGAAGAAGAAGAAGAAGAAGAAGAAGAACAACAACAACAACAACAAAAACAAAACAACAAAAACTCGGTGGTACTAAAACGAGAACGAGACGAGATATCTCGAGAAATGAAGAGTGGATGGAGAGTATTCTACTCCCATAGGTTAGTTAAAGATTTCAGTTCGAAATTTTCTGAAGGTTAGCAGGATTGATGGACGCCTGATCAAGATCGGAGGCTACTACAGCCGAAATGTTGCGATCACAAGAAATAGGAGGAGGCAGATAACGTAAATAGTAATAACTGCTCATCCCAGAAATTCGGACCGAAACCACATGGAAATTATTGATCTATTTACAGAGTATAAATATGGAAGAATTTTAGTCAGAATTTCTGGGATGAGGAGTTGTCATTATTTACATTATTTACATTCCTATTATTGTCTTTATTTGTCTCGTCTGGCCCAGTGCAAAATATTAAGAAACAAAAAAAAATCATCTGAAACATGGAAAAATAGATTGATAACAAAAAGAAAAGATGTACGGATATCACCGGGAAGAACTCTTGCCTTCTTGTCAAAGAAGCTATCTGTGCATCCGTCTGGGGATCTAAACAAAGATTTGGTATTTATGTATAGCATCATTATAGCAGTTACTTTCTCCGGGGGATGCCATATGACAGAAGGATCTTCTCCATTTCCCTACTATGTACAGTATCGAAGGCTTTAGAGAAATCTACAAAAAGTAAGGTGGCCTGTAGAAGAAGAAGAGCCATTAGCCTATTTGTAAGATGAGGGTATTATTCTGGGTGTAAATCATGTAACAAGATTATTTCTTTTTATCGTAAGATTCTGCCCCCCCCCCACCGAACTTAATCAAGCTTATATCGACCTGGATAATCTACAGGTAATTTTGAACTAAGCTCTTTATTTAATCTACGAGGGTATAATGTTCTCGCTCCACTTCTCATGTCTAGGGATATCGTTTGTTTCTCATTTTCATTTAATACTCTTCGGTTATTGGTCATTAGCGTGTTTAGTACTGTTCAGTTATTGCTTATTAACGGTTCCCATATTGTGTGCAGTTATATGCTAGGCCTACTAGCCCAGTATATGCGCTGATTCTTTCAGACGTCTAACTCTCCATTATTCTTCCTTGTTTAAAATTTTCGTTTCATTCCACGGTCTGATGGTTCCCTAATAAATTGACGGAGAGTGAGAAGAAGGGACTAAGCATAGACTACAAGAAGACAAAGAGCATAGTTGTCAGTAAGAGGATTCGCCCGGAATGCGAACGGGAAAACTAGAATCAAGCAGACGCAGAAGGTTTAAATACCTGGGAAGCGTCTTCACAGAGAACGATAAGTGCGACACTGAGATCCGTAGGCGTATTGTGATGGTCAGGGCACGTTCCAAAAGCTGGGCAAAGTACTGCGAGACCGGATGATATCTATGCTAAAAAAAAAAAAAACAAAACAAAAAAAAACAGCAAACTGAACTGTTATGTGACATCTGTCCTTTTTTACGGCCGCGAATGTTGGACGATCTCCTCAAAGATGAAAAGACTCGAGGCGAAGGATATGTGGTTTTACAGAAGGATGCTAAGGACATCATGGACCGGGCATTTGAGCAACGATGAGATCTTAGAGAGGTTGCAAACGAGGAGGAGGCTTACACATAAAAAACAGGAAGAGACAGCTGAAGTTTCTGCGAAATATAAAGAGGAAGGAGGGCCTGGAGAATCAGATAGTCACAGGAAGAATAAGAGACAAGTAAAAAAAAACGCTTGACATACCTGGCGGACTTAAGTAAGTGGATAACAGAACGTGGTCTGGGGGAGGAAGCAGAGGGAAGGAACTTGTTGAGAGCTGCAAGGGATACAGGGAGGGGGAGTGCCATGATCACATACGTCCTGAAAGGATATGGCACATAAAAAGAAGAAAGATACATTAAGCAAGTGGATGACAGAACTTGGTCTGGGGGAGGAAGCAGAGGGAAGGAACTTATTCAGAGCTGCAAAGGATAGAGGGGGTGGAGAGCCATGATCGCCTACGCCCTCTAGGACATGGCACATAAAAAGAATAAAGATACATTAAGCAAGTGGATGAAAGAAAGTGGTCTAGGGGAGGAAGCAGAGGGAAGGAACTTATTGAGAGCTTCAAGGGATAGAGGGGGGTGGAGAGCCATGATCGCCTATGTCCTGAAAGGACATGGCACGTAAAAAGCAGAAAGACACATTAAGCAAGTGGATCACAGAACATCGTCTGGGTGAGGAAGCAGAGGAAAGGAACTTGTTGAGAACTGCAAGGGGTAGAGGGAGGTGGAGAGCCATGATCGCCTAAGTCCTGAAAGGACATGGCACATAAAAAGAAGAAAGATACATTATGCAAGTGGATGACAGAACGTGGTCTTGTGGAGGAAGCAGAGGGAAAGAACTTATTGAGATCTGCAAGGTATACAGGGAGGTGGATAGCCATGTTCGCCTACGTCCTGAAAGGACATGGCACATAAAAACAAAAAAGATACATTAAGCAAGTGGATGACAGAACGTGGTCTCCGGGAGGAAGCAGGGGGAAGGAACTTATTGCGAGCTGCAAGTGATACAGGGAGGTGGAAAGCCATGATCGCCTACCCCCTGAAAGGACATAGCACATAAAAAGAAGAAAGATACATTAAGAAAATGGATGACAGAATGTGGTCTTGGGGAGGAAGCAGAGGGAAGAATGTTATTGAGCGCTGCAAGGTATACAGGGAGGTGGGGAGCCATGATCGCCTACGTCATGAAAGGACATGGCACATAAAAAGACTAAAGACCCATTAAGCAAGTGCATGACAGAACATCGTCTCGGGGAGGAAGCAGAGGGAAGGAACTTATTGAGAGCTGCAAGGGATACAGGGAGGTGGAGACCCATGGTCGCCTACGTCCTGAAAGGACATGGCACATAAAAAGCAAAAAGATACATTAAGCAATTTGACGACAGAACGTGGTCTGGGGGGAGGAAGCAGAGGGAAGGAACTTGTTGAGAACTGCAAGGGGTAGAGGGAGGTGGAGAGCCATGATCGCCTAAGTCCTGAAAGGACATGGCACATAAAAAGAAGAAAGATACATTATGCAAGTGGATGACAGAACGTGGTCTGGGGGATGAAACAGAGGGAAGGAACTTGTTGAGAGCTGCAAGGGATACAGGGAGGTGGAGAGCCATGGTCGCCTACGCCCTTAAACGACATCGCACATAAAAAGAAGAAAGATACATTAAGGAAGTGTATGACAGAACGAGGTCTGGGTGAGGGAGCAGAGCAAGGAACTTATTGAGAGCAGCAAGTGATACAGGGGGGGGGGGAGCCATGATCTCCTACGTCCTGAAAGGACATGGCTCATAAAAAGAAGAAAGATACATTAAGCAAGTGGATGACAGAGCGTGGTCTCGGGGAGGAAGAAGAGGGAAGGAACTTTTTGAGAGCTGCAAGGGATACAGGGAGGTGGGGAGAAATGGTCGCCTACGTCCTGAAAGGACATGGCACATAAAAAGACTAAAGATACATTAAGCAAGTGGTTGACAGAAGGTGGTCTGGGGGAGGAAGCAGAGGGAAGGAACTTTTTGAGAGCTGCAATGGATACAGGGAGGTGGATAGCCATGTTCGCCTACGTCCTGAAAGGACATGGCACATAAAAACAAAAAAGATACATTAAGCAAGTGGATGACAGAACGTGGTCTCCGGGAGGAAGCAGGGGGAAGGAACTTATTGCGAGCTGCAAGTGATACAGGGAGGTGGAAAGCCATGATCGCCTACCCCTTGAAAGGACATAGCACATAAAAAGAAGAAAGATACATTAAGAAAATGGATGACAGAATGTGGTCTTGGGGAGGAAGCAGAGGGAAGAATGTTATTGAGCGCAAGTGAAGAGGGAGGTGGGGAGCCATGATCGCCTACGTCATGAAAGGACATGGCACATAAAAGACTAAAGACCCATTACAAAGTGCATGACAGAACATCGTCTCGGGGAGGAAGCAGAGGAAGGAACTTATTGAGAGCTGCAAGGATACAGGAGGTGGAGACCATGGTCGCCTACGTCCTGAAAGGACATGGCACATAAAAAAGCAAAAAAGATACATTAGCAATTTGACGACAGAACGTGGTCTGGGGGGAGGAAGCAGAGGGAAGGAACTTGTTGAGAACTGCAAGGGATAGAGGGAGGTGGAGACCCATGGTCGCCTACGTCCTGAAAGGACATGGCACATAAAAAGCAAAAAAATACATTAAGCCATTTGACGACAGAACGTGGTCTGGGGGGAGGAAGCAGAGGGAAGGAACTTGTTGAGAACTGCAAGGGGTAGAGGGAGGTGGAGAGCCATGATCGCCTAAGTCTTGAAAGGACATGGCACAAAAAGAAGAAAGATACATTATGCAAGTGGATGACAGAACGTGTTCTGGGGGATGAAACAGAGGGAAGGAACTTGTTGAGAGGTACAAGGGATAGAGGGAGGTAGAAAGCCATGATCGCCGACGTGCTGAAAGGACACGCCAAAGAAAAAATTGAAATAAATAAATAAAGTCTGAACATGACAGTCAGTAGCTGCAGCGCCAGTTGCAACCTGATCGACAGCCAGGTTAAGCTTACAAGATAAAATTTCCCTAGAGGACAATGACCTAGTGGATAAACCCGTTGGTTTGTGAATGGTTGTGAGCCCAATTTAATGGTTGTCGATTGGTCTGTTTTTACTTTTGTACTTAATGGAAACGGGAGAGCACTCCGAGAATATCAGAAAATGTTTAAAAAAAGCAGATCAAACGTTGGACAAATCTTGACTGTTCGGCGGATTATTGAGAGCGTCTTGGAAAATAATCTACAGTCCACCTTACTTTTTGTAGATTTCTCTAAAGCCTTCAATTCTGTACATAGGTTGGGGAATGGAGAAGATCCTTTTGTCGTATGGCATCCCCATGAGACAGTAACCGCTATAATGATGCTATACATAAATATCAAATCTTTGGTTAGATCCCTAGACGGATGCACAGATAGCTTCTTTGACATCAAGGCAAGAGTTCTTCCCAGTGATATCCGTACATCTTTTCTCATCCTTGACTACGCATTGAGCACTTCACTCGACAAGTATCATCATTTAGGTTTTACTTCATCACCTAGTCTCTCAAATCGATATCCTGCAAAAAAAATGATAGATATTGGCTATGTATATGACTTAGCTATCAATGCTGACACCATAACCAATGTCACAATAATCCTAAACCCTCTAGAAAAGGTTGCCAATGATGTTGGACTTCATGTCAATGCCTCTAAATATGAATTCATAGGTTTCAACCAACAATGCATAATATAAAGTGTTTCAGGCGGGTCAATAAAATCTGTGGAATCATTTACATACCTAAAAAGCGAGATGAATTCTACTGGAAAGGATGTGAAAATTCGCATAGCCAAAGCCTGAGCTACTTTGAATAAAATGGATGTAAACTGGAAATTTGACAACCTCAAACGAAAAATCTTTCGTACTAATTTAGAGGCTGTGTTAATGTATGGTGCCACTACCTGAACTAAACTAAAACCTTATAGTCTAAACTTGAAGGAACCTACACTCGGATGCGGAGAGCTATACTTAACATGTCTTGGAGAAAATATCCAACTAAATAACAGTGTCAGCGACCTATCCGTGATATTTCTACAATCATACGCGAACGCAGAATGGGCTTTGCAGGACACTGCCGGCGAGCAAACAAGAACTACAACTCTGGATACCTAGCCATAGAGCAAGACGGGTTGGTCCCCCAGTAACTACCTACATTGACCAGCTATGTTAAGATACAGAATGCCGCCCTTCATCCCCATAGATTAAATAATGCGTTATCTGTAGGTTACACAGATCGATATATAACTGAGGAGGACCGAATGGCACAACGGCCAAAATTTTGTGATAAAAATAACAAAAATGAGGACAATAGTCTGAATATAAATAGTTTGAATACGGAAGAATTTTTAAATAGAAAAAAAGTTGTATACATTCGTTTTATCTCAATAAATGAGCAAATCAAACACGTTAGTGAACAAAATGAAAAAAAAAGAAAACTTATAAATGATTACCTGAAAACTGACCACGATTAAAATAGTGGGAGGGGGCAACATTTACTTTTGTCTCATCTGTCATGGCGTATCTTGTGTCAGTTCAAAATGTGAAGAAATATCACTTTTTACGTCAACTTTTTAAATGTCCTCACCACTTGTGTATTGTGTATATATATATATATATATATATATATATATATATATATATATATATATATATATATATATGTGTGTGTGTGTGTGTGTGTATGCGTGTTTGCGTGTCTTCCGGCGAACATCCAATGACAGCTGACCGGAAACTGCCGACTGTTCACCATTTTCAGTAATCAATGATGTCCGCTTATTGATTAACTCACACTCCGACTACTAGGGGTCGCTGGCCTCCATAAATATTTATGATGGGCTCGGTTTAGTTGCCAGTCTGACCGCTGGGTTAATTCGGTTCAGCATGGCCTCATCCGACCGCGCAGATTCTGACCATCACTTCATCCTTCCACAATAAAACTTCGTCCCGCTTTTGCCGTTATAACTTCAGCGTCATTTTTCTTTCGTTCCTTCCTTCATTCCTTTCGCTTGCATCTATCACTCATCTTTGTTCTGTCGCTTTCTTCCATTTACGCCCTCCTTTGTTCACGACTTTTTATTTCTTTTTTTTTAGAATCTATCTCTTTTTTCTTAAATTTGACTACAAATTCTGTTCAATTCTATTGCGTTTCATTTTTTTCCCTGCATTTTAGGTTTCGTTTCTTTTTTTATTTTATGTTGTATATTTGTTTTCTTTTTCTTTTTTTTCTTTCTTTCTTTCTTTCTTTCTTTCTTTCTTTCTTTCTTGCTTTCTTTCTTTCTTGCTTTTTACTGTAATTTATATTTGAGATGGCTTCTTTCATTTTTTTCCTTCTTCTAATTTCTCGATTTGATCAATTAATATTTTTCTTTCCTTTTTCTTTCTAAGTGCTTAGTTTCTTTCTTACATTTAACCATAAGAACTTTTCACTTTTGTTATTGTTTTACAATTGTTGCTTTTATTTCATTCATTCATCTTTTCTTTCTAATCTGTATTTTATACTGGGTACTTTCTTTCTTTTTTTCTTTCTTTACGTTACGATTTACATTTGAGTACGCGCTTTTCTTTCGTTTGTTCTGTCCTTCTTATTTTGAATTAATGTTCTTTTTTATTTTCTAGCGTAGATTTTTTATCGTTTTTCTTTCCCTTTTCCTTCCAAACTCTTATTTCCTTCCACAAATTTGACTACAAAATATTTTCACTATTTCTATTGCTTTTGAGTCGTTTTTTTTTCTTTCTTTCATTTCAGCTTTCGTTTCTTGCTCTCATTATAATGATGGATACTTCGTTTCTTTCGTTCTTTCTTTTGTTCTTTCTTTGTTTGTGTGTTTCTTTCTTTCTTCTTCTCTTATTTTTCTCGATTCTTTCTTTCTTTTTTCTTTCTTTTTTCTCCTCTTATTGTTATCTATCTATTCATCTATCTATCTATCTATCTATCTATCTTCTCCTCTCATTGTTATCGATCCTTTCTTTCTTTTTTCTTTCTTTTTTCTCCTCATATTGCTATCTATCTATCTATCTATCTATCTATCTATTCATCTATCTATCTCTCATTGTTATCGATCCTTTCTTTTTTATCTTTTTCTCAGTCATATTGCTATATATCTATCTATCTATTCATTATCTATCTATCTATCTATCTATCTCAGTCTGTTTATCTCCATCTATCTATCTTCAGTCTGTTTTGATCTATCTTCATTATCTATCATCTATTCATTCATCTATTTTCTATCTTTTTCTTCCTTTTCATTGTTATCGATTATTTTTTTCTTTTCTTTCTTTTTCTTTTCTTTTTCTCCTCCTTATTATCTTTCTTCTTTCTTTTTCTTTTTTTTCCTCCTTGTTATCTACTCTTTCTTTCTTCCTTTTTTTTTGACTTAACTTTCTTTCTCTTGACAGCGTTTCTCTTTTCTTTTTCTTTCTAAACTCTTATTAGTTCATTCTTAAATTTAACCATAAGGTCTTTGGCTATTCTTTCCTTAGTTCATTTTAGGATTCTTTTTCTTTCTCTCTGAATCCGACGTTGGAAATTTATTCATTTCTTTCTTTCTTTCTTTTTTCCCTCGTTTCCATCTTTTCATCTTTGTCCTTAATTTCTTTTCATTCTTCCTTACATATTCTCGATTCTTCTTTTTCTCTTTTTCTATTCTCTTAATTTTTCGATTTTCCTTTTGGATTTCTTTTAAGTTTGATTTATTTATGCCATCAATATTTCTTTATTTTACTTGTTGTCGTTGCTTGTTTTCCTCCACGTTTCCTTACCTTTCCTGTTGCTGGAACGCATTCATTTTAGATTTAATTACATTCTTCTGCTTTGTCGCCTCAGACCTCCTCAATTTCATTATCTGTTTTTCATTTCAAAGTCCGTCTTTCCTGAGTGGCTTATCTTTTACGAATTCAGGCTTTCTTCCACGCTTTCTTTCCGGGCCTGGCATCTGGTTGTCAGGTAACCAACAACATCAATACAAAAGCAAGCAGAATTCAAGTGGATTTTACGTAGGATGTTTGAGAAGAAGGCTTTTGCAAACGCAACAGGAGCAATCCGAAAAAAGGAATTATTATCTCAGTA